AAAAAAAAAAAAAAAAAAAAAAAAAAAAAAAAAAAAAAAAAAAAAAAAAAAAAAAAAACGAAAGGTAGGAACGATGAATATAGTTTTTTTTAAAAGACATGTGCTCACGGAAGACGATTTCTTTAATACATTATTTTTATTTTATTTAATATTCTTCGTTATAAGTAATAATGATAGGCATGATTTATCTACAGATTCAAAAATTAAATACATGTGTTGAAGGGCACGGTTTTTACAGTTAATAGCGTAACTTTTTATAAAATAATTTTTGTATTTTTTTCGTTCATTACTGACACAAATCTGTTCTCAAATTAAAACTCACGCTAAAAATTGTCGTAATTAAAACAGAAGCATAATTTCTCTATTTTTTAAAAATATTATTGATTTAAGAGCTTTGGTCTATTGATCTCATAGCGATTGCCGTATCATGGAAGGTTTAATAAATAATCATGTCGTAAGCTTCAGATTTTCATATTATGTTGCTGCATATTTTTTTGTTTTGCAAAATTTTTAAAATGAATTTCATAAAATAATCAGAAAATACCACATATAATTGGCCTATTACTATATTTTCTCTACGTTTTTTCTTTTCTTGCAAATCTTAAAGTTAAAATAACAAATAAAATTTTTAGAATATTCACATAACAAGCGACTACTTTTACTTATAAAAAAATCTTTTAATGAAAACTAACCTGGAACATGCCATCAATGAGCCCGGTTACATGATCGTCAGAGAGACTAGTTGTGCGAGCGATCTCAACAAGCGACCGAAGCATTTCAGAAAGTTCCTCTTTATCAATTACACCATTGCAGTCGTTGTCACACATATCAAATATTATGCGCAACTTATCCTCAGTTTTTCCACGAGAAAAGAGCAGCACAGTGTCGAGAAATTCCTGGAAGGAGATGCGGCCATCACCATCCTTGTCAACAATGTTGAACATCTTTGTAACGAAAATTGCGTCTGGCTTCATGCCAAGAGCACTTGCAAATTCACTTTTTGACAGGGATGTGCGCATCACAGTCATAATTTCACCACTATTACTATCTTGAAAACGCTGTTTACGCTCACCAGGACGTAGTCCAAACGTCAATGCGTATGCCTCCCGGAAAAACTGCTTGTAAAGAACCAATGTTACAAATGAAATTTGAAAATAAAAATAAAAAGTTTTGTAGTTTTTTTTAACTTTATAATATACTTATTGATTCAAAATGTTTCACCAACGCTTAAGAGAGAACTTAATAAGAAGTAATGAAATTTTGTTATACATTTAAATAATTACACATATAACTGTACATATAAATCTTCTACGTTTACATTAGTCGAGACTTTCAAACATTAGGTTCTTTTTACAGCCTGAACAGTGTGAGTCTAGTCAACTAGCCTCTTCTATTATATCCTTCTGCAATCAGTAAAGGCAATCCATAATTTAATATTAATAATTTAAATACTACATTTATAAGAACTGGACATACATACATTTTTGAGGAAGAGACTGAAAGTGAAATTCAGAAACAGTACTCAGTAGAAAATAAAACAAATATTCACAGGTCTATGAATAAATAGTCAAGTGTGCGTTATGTATAAATATTTTTAGAAATATCCAAGTAAGAGCATAGCATTTTATCTTTAGAAATATTGTAGTCGAACCAAAAAATTTTAATAGTCTTAAATGCCAACAGGAGTTGCAAAAGTTGTTACTTAAAAGCTTGCAAAAACTGTTTGAGTATAGAATTAATAAAGATGAAAGGCACATTGCTCAATTAAATAGTACATAGTCATAAATTTTCTGATATATACAGAAATCTTTGAAGTAAGAATTACATTAAATTCCCTTTTCTAAACACTAACGTACTTTAAAGTTGTCTAAACGAAAGGATCTTCAAGAGTTTAGAAAATTTTTTTTAGGCAGCATCTTTAGTATCATACAAGAACTATTAAAGAAATTAGTAGTACAAATACTGAGTAAGATACTATACATAAGATTTATAATGTAACAATCTAGAACTGTTTGTGCTTTGCGTTTAAAAATAAAATTAGTTTTAAAAAGATCCCTAATCTTATTGTTAAATCAATGATTAATATGCGTAGAAGATCTTCAAAGAGAAAATGGTAAGCAGGTGTTAAGTATGAAAATAAATATAAATAATTTAAATATTTTTAAATGCGGACCACTGTCATAAGTTATATTAGGCATTAATTTAAAAACATTTTGCATCTGAATTCCTTTAAAAAATTTTTAAGAAATCTTTTGAGTGTAGGATGGTGCCACATTCATCTGTTTGTCTAAGAAAACTTTTTGTTTCGATACAATAGAAAGTGTATCAATAGTGATTCTTTGCTAATTAACACCATAAGAATAGTTTAAAATTCTATGAAAAACAGCACATGTTAGAAAAAAAGGTAACTAGTTCTTAGTAACCCGAGTACAAGTCTATTGGGAATTTAAATTTTCTTTTATTAATACTTGAAATAGCACACGTTAATGAATCATCGTGCCGTTTTTAAATTAAAAACCTTGTTAAGTTACGTGTGAATAAGAAAATATACAGATTGAAATCATCATAAGAAAAAGTTGTTTCAAAATTTTGATATTTAAGAAGTGAAAGGCGAAAAAAACAACGTATCCTAATATCAGATTAATATCACATTATAAGAACTAATATTACGAAAATTTCTTGTACTAACAATGATAGTGCTAATTTAATAACAAAATTTTACTATTTATGTCAAAAAAAAAAAAAAAAGATAAAAAAAAAAAAAAAAAAAACAAAAGGTAGGAACGATAAATATAGTTTTTTTACAAAACATATGCTCACCAAAGACCATTTCTTCAACACATTATTCTTGTGTTGTTAAATATTTTTTGTTATAGGTAATAATGATAGGCATTTTTTATCTGCAGATTCAAAAATTGAATACATGTGCTGAAGTGCACTTTCCGAAAATTCATCTCTATCCAAAGAATTTATATTAATTTTTAAATGTTATAAAATATTAAGAAAGATGATAATCTTATAGTCTTAGCTATTTTTTTACTTCAAATAATGTTTTTAATAACAGGGAAAATTCGATAAAATCTTCTCCTGGAGGCTAATGGTATGCTTCGATATACGCAATAAGGTTAAAAACTGATGGTCATACAACCTAAGTAGGCGACGTCCGAGGGACGTGTATTATAATTTTGTTAAATTTTCGAATACATGTGACTATTAATCTCTTATCTTATTGATCATTAAAACACGCAATTAGACTCTGAAGTGATTAACACATTTCTAAAATGTATGTTTATATTTTACGGATTGCATTAACTTCTAACTAGTATTTCTAAGGCTTTTTTGTAATAGCGGAGGGCTTATTTTAAATTATTTAACGAGCTTAGCGTTTTTTTTTTGTTCTATCAATAACAATACACTTTTTTTACAATTTTAAATGAAAATTGATTAAGTAAATGAAAAAAGTTTTTTTTCTGATTTTATAAAAACCAGCTTGCCCAGAAACATTAATTGACTTATTCTTGCTTTCCTACGATAATTTAAAAAAAAATCGGTCTCGTACTTAATTACAATATATTTTCTCAACACTGGGATGAAAATCTCAAGAAACGTAGAATCATCCAGATTATTGCAAGCATTGAAAAATTTACTATGTTTTTCATACAATAAAAATAATAAAACGTCTATTTCTTAAAGCAACTTTTTTATGGTAGGTAAAATGTCTTTTCGTTCATTTTGCAGCAATCTTATACTTGTAACGTCCATTGTTAACCAAGGCTTGTTTTGAACTTTGAGGTTAACATCTATTGCAATAAATCAGTTTTTATTATCTGCTTTCGGACATATTGTAAGTATCAATTTACTATCTTAATTCAATTTAAGTCAAAAATGTTAAGTCTTTAATTTCCAAAGTGCGTTTAGAGGTGTCAGATCTTTTGAAGGAAAAATATGTTAATTAATTAATGAATAATAAATACCCAATGAACATACACACACAAAATGAATTATTAAAAATTAGAAATACATTACTACCACTAGTAGATGCACCTGATTTTTCATTCAATAAGACAACTTGTAACATATTTACTCAAACTCTTTGCAAAATGCTTTTACTGTTTGCGATTTTTAAAGTTGGGATTGACACTTATTGCTTGTGCGTACTTAAAAAGTTTAAACTATCTGACTGCTTTACTAGTGTCACATATGGTATCATAGCTACACGTACATGTGCCCCCTCTTTTTTGGGCCTTCTAAAGCGATTGTAGTGGTAGAGAACAGAGAGATGAGTGGAGAGGATGCTAAAAGGAGCTCACACTCTCTGATTGGAAGCAGCAAGGACGAGGGTCTTACACACGTGATGCGCTCTTTTCTCGTTTTGAATTAATAAAGAAGTTGATACTAATTTCTCAAGTATTTACTTTATGCACTCCCCAATATCATAGAATTTTACGCAACATTTTTGGTGTTAAAAGAAGGATGGTCATCACGATTTAATAAAATGAAAGTGACATTTTTTTTTCGTCTTTGTCAACGGTAAAGTATCGACTCTCGCGATTTTCATGAAACACGCAAAGTGTCATGCTACAAAGTGAATACGGAACTGCTACCAAAGGGATCGGCGAAACAAGAAGTTGCTGCAGTACGGAGAAAAGAAACTTCAATTTAAGTATCAAGGCGAAAGAATACCTGGGACTACAACATGAGATCAAGCAAATAAGAATGTAGAGGGTTTTGGTTGCCTTCGTTTTAACCAGTAGCATATGGTAAGTACTACAGATTATAAATAAAAAAATATATTTATACTGTCCTGAGGATTCTCTTAAAACTTATCGTACAATACAAATTTATTTTTGTTGTTATATTCATTTTGCGTTCCATATTCTCGTCTTGACATCAGTGGCGCGTCACTAGAGTAATTTATTGTGTGCTAGAAAAATTTCGGATTAAGAAGGAAATTGATTAGGTTGATAGCGAGAAAATTATAAGTGAATAAATAACAATAAAATAAGACGCGCGATAACAGTTAAAACAAAGCGGGCTCACCATCAAGAAGTAACGCAAGGAATCTTACAGAAGTTTAAAACTGTTTTAGCACTCTCATACAGGCAGGAAATGAAGGATAATAAGAAACAATAAAAGAGTAACTACAGTGGAAATTGTCAATGAGCAAAGTGACGTAATGAGTGTTAGGGAAAACGTAATTCCCTAGCATCCAGAAAACGAGTCAGAGTCAGAAATGCTGATCAGTTTTTTGGAACATAGCCCGGAATCCCAAAAAAATTGGGAAAAAAAGAACAAAAAACAGTGTCTTTTTATGCTAAAATTTTTGAAAAAAATGAAACCAAGTATTGTAAAAAAAAAGTCCCCTTAACGACTGTGTGAACAGCAGGACCGAGTTCGGAATTTTTTAATATGGATAATACTGTAGGAGATAAGTCATTTTCAAAAGAAGTGGGATGTGGGGCTGGAAAGATAATAAGCGTCTACACGAGGGACGGGGTAGTACAAGCGGGGAATATATTCGGAAAATTTTAGTACGAAACCAAAAGCACAACAAAACTTACCACAGATTCCCAAAGAGTTCATGGCATAAGAATACGGGGGAGTTGCACGTACCCAGCAATTAGGTATTTCGGGACCTGTTGACAAACTGACAAAGGTACGAAACCAAAGTGTAGGATACCAACAAAGGGCATTGTTATTTGATTTTCTCTCGCAGAGCAATAATATAAATAGGAAATTTCTTCTACACAATCAATATTGGGTTAAACCACGTATAGTACATACCAGCCCCATAGCACACCAGCAAGCCACACACATGCAGCCCTGAAATGCACACAATATACAAGCTCTTGTAAGTAGTGGCTATAGCTAGACTATAGCTGGAGAGCAGTTTTGAGCACGGCTTTTACTATTTAACACGGTCAATGACTTTTGACTAGTTTTTTCACGATAATTAAAAAGCATGGGGGGTATGGTGACGCTGTTAGCAGAGTTGAAAATGTTAGTACAGTACCCAAGTAAATCGATTGCACAATACTGCAGTCGAGCACGAAGATTATATAAAAGAGTCATGATGACCTATGATTCAAGCTCACACCTGGCAGCAATAGAGAAG